AGAAGCATGCCATGAAGAAAGAATTGAGATTCCTATGCATTGAACAATTGTTCAGCATATAAGTTGTAATAGCCACAACAAGAATATAATAGCACCAAACGCATTATCATGATTCAAAAAATTACTTCAGTAAACAGAACTTTTACAGAACAGCAACCTTGTAAATGAACAAGTCCTCCATGGATCTTCGGACACCTCTCAAGATCTAACTTCTCCAAGTTGATCAAGCCAGACAAGAAACTCATTGCTTGAGCAGTTATCAAGTTGTTTCTTTTAAGACTTAGAGCTGTCAGGTTTGAAAAACCTACAAGCTCGAAAAGCAAAAGAAGCACATCAGCTCATAGCTTATAAGCACATGCAGTAAATTAACCTATAAACCACAAAAACCTCTGAGTCTTCAACTTTATCAGACGGCATACAGTGCTTCATTCCTAACGGCACATTTGATGCTTTCATAGAAGTTTCAGAGCTAAAAATTATGTTTTCTTAGAGTCATCAAATTCAATTTCTCATGTATCATCACCAACACAACTTACAGCAGCAATTTGAATGAATGAACGGATAATGATTAGTGAAGTTACCAACTAAAATCTTGAAAAGGAAAAATGGTTTTACACTAGTTAAACTATCCCAATACAGATTACAAAGTGCTTTAAAATGACTTGTCAAACTAAAATCAGAAATCAAATATTGCAATATTACATACACAGATATTACGTTTGCAATCCCGGAGATTCAAGTTATTACGAGATGATCTCCAAGAGAAANAAAAAAAAAAAAAAAAAAAAAAACTTTCTTGGACTTGTGAACTTCTTACCACTGATCTGTTGGAGACCCTTGTCCGAAATTAGATCACAGAAATTAAAATTCAGCCATTGAAGGTTCTCGCAATCTTTAAGATAAATTAACCCAGCGTCAGTAACATCTGAACCCGAAATATCAACAGAAAGTAAAGATGAACCCTGTGAAGAGATAACCCCCATCCAGTTGTCGTTAACTACTGGCCCTGGATATTCTCCCAAATTAATATCCTGCAACACAAACAGTCATTTTCATAATAACAATATGCCCATTTGAAATCCTCATTCGTTTAAGCTTTCAACTATACCTGTAGAGCGCAATCCCTAAACGCATCAAGTATGGAATCATTTAGTAATTGTGAGTAGACCAAATCATCAAATATCTGCTGGCTTATATCCCTTGGCAGCATTGAGAAAGTGCTATATTTGTTTAAATCCTGCAACCAAGAAAATTGTTCATTATTTCCCTTGTTATAGGTATAAGGAAAGGAGTCTATGCTGAAACGTACTTTACGAATTTTGCGAATACACAAATCCATAAGAGATGGGCAACTCTTTTCGCCCTGACTGCAGTCCATAGATGCTCGAAACAAAGTCCCAAGCCATTTTGAGCTCCCACTTTTAATATATCTTTTAGAAATTCCTCTGTTCACGTTGTCCTCGTTAACCTGTTGGTCTCGTTTTCTAGAACAAGCTCCCCCCATATGACGATCAATTATAACTATTTACATCAAGAAATTTGTAGCCAAGCAATGTATTTGTCTGGTTGTCGTCAAGGGAATGAAAGCAAAATTACTCTGCGAGAAGATTTTAGAAATCAAGTGACATCATTAGAAAATTTTCACGGATTGCATAGTAAGCTTTCATATAAGTAAAATTTGAATCTTTCTTCATCTGGTTTTGAGAAAGCACTGAACTTTTTCTTGGGTAAACTATGAAAATGAAACCATTTAAACAAACTAGTATATCCGGTTCTCAAACATCTCACACGACCTGGAAGGATAAAGAATTTGTGAAATTAGAAAACTAAAAAAAAATTATTAAAAAAATTCACTTTAATGCCAAGGTTACAATCCGACCCACTAATACTTTAGGGGAAATATTTTTTCATCTAAATCTCCCTCATGATCGTGCCAAAAAAAAATCAAGTTTCGGCAAAAATTATAATAACAAAAGAATGTAGACACTAAGACACAGCTTCAACACCCCACCGCAAAGATTGAATTTTAAAAATGAAAATCAAGGAGAAAATCATATCCTCGTAAGTAACACTGAACCCAGACAGTGATTTCAGTTCACATGAAAGATACATAGAGTGAAACACAAAATAATAAGGTAAAACAAAATCACCCCTCAACCCCAAATAAAAACACCATCTTTGAGACATAATCATGCATTTCAGTTCACTTCTCGCTTAAAAATACTCAACTATAAATATGATTTAACAAAAAAGAATAAAAAAAAGATAACAACCCTTCATCAAGTCTACCTTGATAATAATGCCTCCCAAAAAAAAAATCATTAAAAAAAGGTTTCCTGAAGTAAAGTGTGCCCGAATTCACAGGGAAACAAAAGAGGGAAACAAGCACCTTAATTTGTCCTTCATCAGAGCCATCACCAGCCCTCAAACAGCGATTACGAAAAGTAACAGTGAAATTAAATTAAAAAGAAAAAGAGAAATGAGTGGGTAGAAAGCAGAGAAGTATATGTAAGTGTAAAGGGTGGAAAACTGAACAAGATGAAGATGATAGAGAAAAAGAGAGAAAGAGAAATAGAAAGCGTACAAGACCCAAAGAGCGGCTGCCTCCCGAGCCAGACGCCCGAACCGGCCGACGGTCGCCACGTGGGCCTTGAGATTTCTGCTTCGGATGGCAAGAGTGATGTATGATAGGAGGGAAGTGCGAGTATGGGTTGAATTTGTGAGCCACGCGCTGCATATTTATCGGTTGTAGATAAATTAGATATTATTTTATTCTTTAAATGCATAAATAATTGGGCTCCTGCTTTATCCTTTTGGGGGAGTTGGGGTGGGGCCCACAATGCGGGGAGGATTTTGCACGCAATGTCTCGTGGGAATTTGGAAGGTTGCGTGGGGTTTTGTTTGTTTAAGTATCACTAATTAATTAAATTAATCAATCATTACTGAAATTAGTATAATCCCCCTCCCTTATATATTATTTCAAGGTATGTTTAACTTAAATGGCAGACTCGCATGTTTCGTATGTTTATTTGGTGAATATATATGCTTTGTATTGCTACATATATAGGCTCGGATGCCAAGTCAATTATGACAATTAGGTTTTGCCCCCTATATATTATTTCTGAATGTGTTGAGTTTAAGTAGAAGACTGCATGCTTCGTATGCTTACTTAGCGAAAATATATGCTTCGTATTGCTACATATAAAGGCTCAGATGCCAAGTCAATTACGACAACTAGGTTTTGTAAATTACCAAAAATATCATAAGATTCCTTTTATCAATCATTTAATTATTATTTCTTTTGAATCTTGTCCCCAATTAGCCAATGTTTACCAAAAATATTTTAAATTATTTATTAAGTTATTATGATTTAAACATAGTTATTTTGATTATTTTATTAAATATTTTAAGTACTTATGAATAGTGAATATAATTAATTAGATTAATACCTACAACCATAGATGATAATATATTTAATCAAATCAATTTTGCATCATAATTTTTTGAATTGTGTCAATAAATTACTACTAAATTAATATAAGATCTTATTGAAAATATATCTAATAAATCTACAGTCAAAATTTCAATTTAAGTCAAGTAGTTAATGAGTAACTAGTACGATACCCGTGTACTACACGGGTGCTTAATATATTAATATTTGTATAATAAAAAATTAAAATAATTTATATTTTTATTATAAAATTATGTATAATGAATATACAATAATTATAACTCACTAACTAATTGATAATTAATTCAAATGGTGCCCGCATTTTTACACTAAATTTGTCAAAAAAAAATGTATATTTTCTAGTAATATTTTTTAAGTTATATATGTATAAAATTAATATTATTTACAACTCCATATATTTGATTCGAATTTTCTTATAACAAAACAAGTTTTATTGTAATTTTATTATATATTATATTTGTAGAGTCAGTGTCTCTCATTTATTGATTTTTTAAGTATTTTAAATTCATATAGTTTATAATTTAGAATATTAATTTATGAATAAATGTATTATTTTTTAACTTTATGAGATATAAAATTATTTTATTATGTATAAGTATGATATTTCCTTATATTTACTATTTTAAACAACATAATAACATTCAAATTTTTATATAATCTATTTTAAACTGAGAAATAATACTTTATAATATTTCTTAAAAAATATTTATGAAGCATAGATGATTTTTTTTATTTATTTTATATATGCAATATGGATGTCTTATCGAACATCGTTAAAATATGATTATTTTGATATATCATGTATAAAAACAAAATATAAATTAAAAAGTTATAGAGTTTTAAAAATAAAAAGAATACATATTTATAATAAGTAATATACTATTGTACAAATTAAATAAGAAAAATATGAAATAGGTAAATGATCTCTCTTTGTATTTGTACGTTTATATTTATTAAAATTCAAACAAAATGAGTATAAAACTATAAAAGTACGAAATATGAAAATCATTTTAAGATTAAGCAATATTGATATAGGATTTTTAACATTTGACTGGTATAGGATTCTTAAGCATGTAATTTTTGTGGTTCAACATTGATAGGTTCACACCTATTTACACGGCATATAAAGTTGGAGGAGATTAAGAATCTTATTTATTTTAGAGTTAGATAGTAATTGAGTGTATAAAGATTAATTATATTTTTCATGTATATAATTTGCTAATAAATAAATATTAATTAAATGTGACAAAACAATTTATGGCCCAAAATCATCCTTGCAATAAGGATTGTTTAATTATATAGACATGGATATATAGATTTTCCTAAACCCACGACACTATCCACAGCTCAATCCAGAGTTGCAAACTTGCAATTGGACATGGCGGCTACATTCCTCGGATTAGCCAAACCACACTCTTTTACACTTCCAACCATAAACACCGCCATTTCCTTCTGCAGGAACAGGCCCAAGTTCGTGGCACAAACGCGCAGGTTATTTACCCGCACAGCAAATTCAAGAACCGTGTGTTTATCTAGCCAGCCAAGGAAGTGCTTTTCCCGCGGATTTGCAGTCTCCGGCGCCTCCACATCCGTCCCGGAAACTGACGATTGTGATGTCGAGACTAAAATCCCACCTGATAATAGAATCCCGGCTACGATTATAACTGGTTTCTTGGGTTCTGGGAAGGTAATTTCATTAAATTTTAATTGTTGGGTTCTAATGTTTGAGCTTAAAAAATGTTGCTTTATGGCATTTCTTTTTTCTGGGTTCGGTTGGAATTGTTTTATTTTAATGTCTTTGATATTGGGAAAGGTAATTGATGGTTTGGTTTTGGTTTTGTTAGTTCTGTTTGGGGATGAATTCTGTTTTGAAAATTGATCTCTACCATCAGAGAAATTTGTATGAATGGCTGTTGTAATTGATTGGAACTGATGTTGAAGGTGTCCAAGACTTCTTCATTACTTGACTTTTTTTCATAGCAGAGTAAATGGCTTTTGGTAGCTGGTTCGTCGATTATCAGCTTTAATCAGAATCAAAAATTGAGTTGGACCTAGTTAATTTCCAACTTCATCATTTTCCTGTTATTTGGTCTTAGATGTACTGCAGATGATGCCATTTTGCTATAATCATGGTGTTTTATAGTTAAAGGTGTGATCTTGCTGACAGCTGAATGGAATTGAGTTTGATTAAAGAGTAAATGACAATAGCAGATGCACTTTATGTGTCTATAGAAAGTAAATGACATGTCCATTACTACAGCCAATATGAAAGGATGAAATACACGTTGGATGTTATAAGAACTAGCATCAGGTTGAAGATTATATCCCGAGTTTCATTCCGTCAACTGGTTAACCATTGGTAGAAATTTTTTGACGATTATAAACTTTGCAAATGGAGCTGGAAGAGTCATTGTTGACATTTCTCCTGGCATAGTGCTAATAATGGACTAGATCAAAATGACTCAATTAAATTCTAGTGCTTCTTCTATTAGTGAAGTTTCTAGAAAAAAAAAATATATCAAATGGCGCAATGCACCTTGGGTCGCTACGGAAACAACCTCCTTGTATAATTACAAGGGTAAGGTCTGCGTACAACTGACCCCCCAGACCCCAACCTGTTGGGAATATACTGGGTATGTTGTTGTTGTTGTTGTATAAACTTTGCCTGAATGTTGAGTGTCAGAAAGATAATCACAAAGCTGGAGCCTTTGTTCTTTTTGTCAATCGTCATTACTTATTTCTGCCGAATTTTTTGCATTCTGTAAAGGCAGTTACTGCAGATTCTTTTATGTTATGCCTAAAATATTGTTGTCCTTGTATTTGACATTTGACCGATGGAGTTGCAGACTACCTTGTTGAACCACATCTTGACAGCTGATCATGGGAAACGTATTGCGGTCATTGAAAATGAGGTATGCTATACAGTTAGTACATAAGTTGTCAAGTCTTATTTTTTATCTTCTGTTTTACCTTTTGGCCTTGAAAGTGATTGGAAATAGAGATGCCTAGTTTCCACTTGTGGAAATTCTCACCTCTATTGATCTTCATGGAATCGATTTTATTTTTAAGCATGTAATTGTTCTTGTCAAATTCAACTTAGTCATTTGTTGCTTTCTTGGTTTATCAGTTTGGTGAAGTTGACATCGATGGCTCCTTAGTTGCCGCAAAATCTGCTGGAGCTGAGGACATTGTAATGCTCAACAATGGGTGTCTCTGTTGTACCGTGAGGGGCGATCTTGTCCGGATGATTTCGGAACTTGTCAATCGGAAGAAAGGGAAATTCGATCACATTGTTATTGAGACAACTGGTAAAAAAAAAAATTTGCTGGTCACGTAATGTTTTCACATCATAAATCGGGCACTTTTCATTTCCTTGCCTATCTTATTTCGAGCGTATAATCAGTTAATGAGTGTTTATTAAATGCCAATGCCTTTGCTGACACTTTCTGTTCTTCATTTGTCCAGGACTTGCTAATCCTGCCCCAATAATTCAGACATTTTATGCGGAAGATCAGGTTTTTAATGATGTTAAACTTGATGGTGTGGTCACACTTGTCGATGCTAAACATGTGGGTTTTCACCTTGATGAAGTTAAGCCCAAAGGTGTGGTCAATGAGGCAGTCGAGCAAATTGCTTATGCTGATCGCATTATTGTAAACAAGGTAAGCTATTTAATACTTTAATTTATTTGCATGATGTAAGGATGTAAAAATGTTTTGTGTTTCAATTATTATTAGTATTATTATTATTAGTGAAACTGGATCTATTTGATTGACTAAGAAGTAATTACCTGTCATTTTGATCACAGACTGATCTTGTTCGTGAACCTGAGGTTGCTTCAGTAATTGAAAGGATAAAGGTAACTTTCCCCGAATTTGGACTTTAATCTTCCCAATGGATTCTTGTATTTAACAGATTTTTTTCCTGTGATGCAGAGCATAAATCGTATGGCTGAACTAAAACGGACACAATTTGGAAACGTTGAGTTGGATTATGTTCTCGGTATTGGAGGCTTTGATTTGGAAAGGTTCATTCTCAATTCTATCATTATGGAGCTTTTTTTATCCTCCCACAGTCATTATGGCCTCATTAGTCTTCATAGTTGAATTGATTTGGATTAGACAACAGTTGATAGTGGGTAGCTGTTAACTAATTCCAAAGCAAATGCTTGATAAATTGGCTGACAAGAAGAGATGATTACTAATATAAATATAAATTAGTATATAAAATTACTATTTTTATTAATTAATGTAGAGAAATAAAAAAATGTCAAATAATAATATTAACATCGCAAAATGAAACCAAAGATTTCCATGAAACCATATAGGTATATATATTAGAAAACAAAAGTTAAATAAAAATGTGATAAAAAATATATATTTTCTTCAATTATATCANAAACTTCTTACTTATTTGGTTAGATTATAAGTTTCCTGTATTTAAATAAATTTCGTTTGATAGAATGATTTTTTTTTAAATCTCGAGCTTATCTCATAAGCTTATTTGGGTAGCTTTTCAAATAAGCCCGTTGAGATTTTTATTTCAGCTAGCTTATCAGCTAATTTTACCAAACAGTTTTATCATATAAGCTAGCTTTTCAGCTATAAGTCATAAGCTATAAGCTCGAAGCTCGAAAATCGCTTATAAGCTTTAAGCTAGCTTATCAGCTAGTTTTACTAAAACACTGTTCAACCAAGAGGCTCCTAAGATTTTTTTTTTTTTTTTTTTTTTTCGTTTTTTTTTTTTTTTTTTTTTATTTGTTGTAATTTGATTCGGATTATAACTACAATGAAAAAAATATGACCCCTAACGTGCAATTTCTTCTTTTGGTTTAATATGCATGCAGAATTGATAGTGCTGTTGAAGTTGACCGCCCTGAGGAAGATCACGAACATGGTGGTCACAACCACGATCACCATCATCATGATCACCACCATCACAATCACGAACATGATCATAAGCACGGTAATTCCATGTCTTCTTGAAAATGGCCATTTGTATCATCATCATTCAAGCAAACAAGTGCATTTTCATGGTTTCTCGAGGTTTCAATAAGAAGTTGATTTTGTGTTTGTGAATATAAATTGAAAAAAATGGTTACAAGTTACCGAGTGCATGTGTACGAGTCAAAGCATAACCTCGCTCTGAATTCCAATACGATTGAACTAAGAATCACTTTTCGGATTTCTCCTTTTATCTTTAAGTGATTGTGAACAGTTCATATACATCAATTGACAATTATTTGAATTATGATTGCAGAACATCACGATCACCATTCGCACGATCATACTCATGATCCTGGTGTTTCTTCAGTCAGCATAGTTTGCGAAGGGACTTTGGATCTTGAAAAGGTTCGTGTATGCATTTTGTATTTGATTGAGAATAATTTAACGAGATTAAAAATTTTCTTTTTTCTATGTAATATTTCAGGCAAACATATGGCTAGGTACCCTGTTGTTAGAAAGAAGCGACGACATATACCGAATGAAAGGCCTTCTATCCGTCCATGGCATGGACGAGCGTTTTGTTTTTCAGGTAAAAAAAAAAAAAAAAACTTTATTAAATTAATGGTTCGATAATTTTGTAAATTTTCCCTAATATCTTTACTTTTGACTGATATCCGTCAAACTCGCAGGGAGTGCACGACATATTCCAAGGGTCACCGGACAGGATGTGGGGCCCACAAGAGCCGAGAGTAAATAAGCTCGTTTTCATTGGAAAGAACCTCGATGCTGAGGAGTTAAACAAGGGGTTCAAGGCGTGTCTGTTGTAAGTTTCAAAGATTTTATACGAATAAATCCTTGAAGTGGAAAATTCGTTCGATTACAGTTCCCAGCACAATAAATGGTGTCCTTTAGGGTAAGATATTATTACAATGCAGTGAATTTAGACAAAGCCAACCTTAAAGAACAATGGCTTTTAGCAGAACATGTTTGAGAAAACAGTGCATTGCTTTAAGTAATATCTGTAGGTAAATAGGATAAACTCTTTT